CATTCATGACAAACAAAAATATACAGCGTGATAGCTGATACGATGAGCTACAAGAACAACTAGTTCTATCTCGAAAATTGATTAGTAGAGACGTGACAATGTGAATGAAAACTTCGAAAAAAATACATTTTTTCAAAACGGTCACGCGGAAAAATTTTCATTTTTTGTGGTATTGTATTCTCAGGAGAAACAGTTATACTATGACGAGATATCTATCTTGTAGAGAATTTTCAGGGCTATCAGAATATCTGCTTACTTTTTCTAAAACTCCATATCTAGTCAAAAATTTATTGAAAATACTGAATGTGAAAGCAATGTGAAAATAAAAAATTTGGGAATCTCACTTGCATGCATCTTCATTCCATTTGATTAATTTTTCACCATACGAAAGCTAGATATGATCAAAAGGTATATTATGATAGAGCTTCACTAGGACTATCGAATGGTATAATTAGTTTTCCAATAAGTCGTGTCTGTATGGAAATAGAGGTTAGACAAAGTGGTTAACTTTTGCTTTCCAGGGGTATAGATATGCGCCTGTGGATAACATTGTTATTTAGGATACAAGAAGGCGTAGGTACCGCCACTATATGAGAGATGTCGATCTATGGTTGCCATCTAAAGGGTGCCACGTAACCTTAGTCTTCTCCTCTACAACTTAAAGTATCAGCAATATCACGAATGTATTTTATACCAAATTAAAGTGTGTTAAAAATGGAATGCATTGATACTAGATAGTAAAGATTACGAAAACCTTTCAACGTCGAATTTAAGAGATTTTCAGAAGTTTTATACTTCTTTAGTGTAGGAAAATAAGGTGGCAGTAGTTCAACAATGAAATAAAACATTCTTGTTAGATACTTTTACATGATTCAATAGAGTTCGTCGAGCTATACGAACTGCATATTTCAAAAATATTTTGATCTATGATTTTGAGATAAAAAATTCAAAACAATACATGGAAAATCTTTAAAAATGTTTAAAAACTTCACTTTTTTCATGTGACAGCAAAACACTCGATTTTTCAATAAAACTAGCTTTTGTTTATTATTTTTGCTGTCACAGAGGTTTAAAAATGTATTCATTCGGTGCCGCGTGAAAAATTGAACCCATTGAGCACATTTCGAAACTTCTCAGACAGCAAAAATAGTAAACAAAACCTAATTTTATTAAAAAAATCATGCATTTTGCTGTCATTTGAAAAAAGTGAAGTTTTTGAACATTTTTAAAGATTTCCCATGTATTGTTTTGAATTTTTTATCTCAAAATCATAGATCAAAATATTTTTGACAGATGCAGTTTGTATAGCTCGATGAACTCAATCGAACTATGTAAAAATATCTAACAAGAATGTTTTATTCCATTGTTGAACTACTGTCACCTTATGTTTCTACACCAAAGAAGTGTCAAACTTCTGAAAATCTCTTAAATTCGACGTTGAAAGGGTTTCATAATCTTTACTATCTAGTATTAATGCACTCCATTTTTAACACGCTTTTATTTGGTATAAACTACATTTGTGATGGGTTGGTGAATTTTCAGCACAGGAACGTTCAGCACTCGGAATAATCAGACCGTTGAATTTTCAGCACGCGAACGTCCATCATGAAAAACACATCGTGAGGTTCTTGGTGTAGGTAAGAGCGTGGCTGCAGGTGCCGGATGGCTGTTGGCCTGGTACCGGGCATCCTTCTCTATGTGCGGGTCAGCGGAGTGTATTTCTAACTCATTTTTGTCCATACACACACCTAGATTCATAATCAGATCGGCACCAGAACCTCACAAACACCTAAATCTCCATCTATGGCTCCACGCGCAACGATACCCACATCTACGCTTATCACCTCACTTACACCCACCGGCACCTACAGCCACACTCTCACCCACACCAAAACCCTCGGGATGTAGTTTTTGATTATGGATGTCCGCGTGCTGAATATTCAACGTGCTGATTATTCCTAGTGCTGAACGTTCCTGTGCTGAAAATTCCGTGCTGAACGTTCCATGCTGAAAAGTACGTTTCCCATTTGTGATACTGTTGATACCTTAAGTTGAAGAGAGGGAGGCAAAGGCTATGTGCACCCTGTATATACAATAAACTAAGACAACTAAAACCATTGTTAACCTATATTTTTTCACTTCTTACCTGATGGAGGGATATTGACGTTTTTAAAAATGCAGCTTGTTGATATTGTCTGTTTCGATGAAAAGCTGTATTATACTTTATCAGCTTTATCAAAGAAAACTCTTATCAGTCATAAACATTGCTGAAATAACAACGCTTCTATTGTTGACAATTCTTATTCACATGGGTGAGAGTGTGGGTATGACGAGTGTTGGTGTGGATGTGCGTATGGGTGTGGATGTATGCGGGTGTGGATGTGTGCGGGTGTGGATGTGGATGTGTGCGGGTGTGGATGTGTGTGGGTGTGGATGTGTGCGGGTGTGCAGGTGTGGATGTGAGTGTGGATGGTATGGGTAAGTGTGTGTGGGCGTGGATAGGCGGATGTGCGTATGGATGTGGATCTGTATGGTTGTAGATGTGGTTGTGGAAGGTGTGGGTAGGTGTTTGTGGGCATAGGTGGCTGGGTGTGCGTATGGGTGTGGGTATGGATGAGTGTGGAATGGGGTGTGGGTGTGGGTGTGGAGGTGGGTGAGTGTGAGGTGTGGCTGTAGCTGTGGCTGTGGGTGCGGGTTTGTGCATGTGGATGGGTTTAGCTGTGGCTATCGCTGTGGGTGTGGGTGTGCGTCTTCCCTTAATATCCACACCCAGACCCAGACCCAGACTCAAACTCAGACCCACACCCACTCTCACACACCTAGCCACACCCACATCCATACCCACACCCTACCCCGTATACGAAGCGTATTGGGCATGTATACGGTCGTATACGGACTCCGTATTCGTCAACCTGGGTGCCTGTCTGGCTTTAAAACAATTCCAAAAAATCTTGTTTCATCATGTAAATATTTCATTAATCTATAACCAATTGCTAAACATTGATATTTTAATGTTTCTTGTAAAATTTGATAATAACTAATCGGTGTTTCTAGTGGAACGAACATCGATGCTAAGCAAAAATAAATCTCAGGACCATCAGCTGTTAGTAAAACATCATAAACTTTTTTTATATTTTTATTCTCAGATAATTGTGAAATATATTTTGATATTAAATTTGGACTAACAATAAAATCATCGGCACATGTTCTATTTGCTAATTGACAATTGCATATATCATACATTTCTGCTACTATACTAAATGTTTTTTTGTTATTTGATTTATCAATAATATTTTTTTAATATAATAAAAAAATTAAACATTCAGCATCAGCTTCTTCAATTAAATTTTGTTGTTCTCTCTCTTCATTTGCTAATAAAATAACATAACCATACGAAAATAAAGGGTGTGGGTGTGAGTGTGGGTGTGGGTGTGGGTGTGGGTGTGGGTGTGGGTGTGGGTGTGGGTGTGGTGTGGGTGTGTTGTGGGTGTGGTGTGGGTGTCGGTGAGGGTATGGGTGTCTACTCAAGTCTATCACCCACCCACACACCCCACACACACCCACACCCACACTCACCTGACCATATCGGCCTGTTTTTTGGAGATAAAAAAGAATTGCAAATGTGTTGTCCCGTGTTGATACTTGACACCCTGGTCAGATTAATTATTTAATATTTAACATTCATTCTAAACCACCCGTTGATTTCATCTGCATTCAAGAATGAATCAAATAGAATAAGCAACGATGGCGATTGTTGTTGTTCTCATTAGTAAATGGCAATGATCAAACTGATAGTTTACAGACTAATCTTAACTTTGCAATGTGATAGATTTAAGTGTTGACACATCATTCGAACTGTCATGGCGTGAATCTTTTTTTCAGCAATGAGTTGATTATCGAGTAGTCCTATTGTTAGATCCAATGCCACAAATTATTTCAATTTGACAAATGCGATTTGCTATATTAGAGGGAATGGGTGTGGGTGCCGAATGTCGATGTGAGGTGAATGAAGGCATGATTTCTCCACAGCTACAATCAAAGCCAGTCACATTCTCTCTTGGAAAATCAACGATAATGAATTAGGTTTTAATTGAAAATACCTTTTTGCTTCTGAATTTCTTTCGTAAAGACATAAACAAATGGTCTTTGAACTGTTGCTCCTCCCATTCGAGAAAGGTCCAAAGAACATATGATTATTGTTCATACAGTACAATTATCACTTTCTTAAAAGAAAATATGCTTCATGTTCCGCGAAAAAGGGAGTCGTTAGATTTTGTGGTTCGCATGTGTCTAACAATAACAATATGGTGTATCCTTGCAACGACAATTCATGTCTTGTAAAGAAAAAAAGAAAGACTGAAGTGCTCAGCAGGAATACAAGTAACACCTAATTGCATCGACTGTAACTATTTCTCATATATATAGAAGTATCAAAGAAATTGATTCTTTCTCATTTGATTTCATTGATTGTTCGATCGAGATATTATTCAAAGTTGTAAAGAAGAAAAATGAATTCACCTATCTTGTTGTCTTTATGTTTGTTGAGTAAGTATTTCTTTGACTAGTATGTAAGATTTTTGAAATCATTCGTGTCAATAAAGCATTGATTTCATCAACAAACGGAATCTATTGTATCGTGTGCACCGGCTCGAGTGGGTCCAGTTGCGCTGATCCGTACAGTGGAGGTACGTCAACATCGAGTACTTATTCAACGTCAGGCTTTGGCGCTTGCTATGTAAGTAAATATTAATGTGTTGAATTCACTATTTTTTGATTGCTTAGAAACTTGTGTATACAGCATCGTACGGTTCATACTCGGCGGGCTATGTTGATCGCGGAGGCTATTCAAGCAGCAGTTCCTGCGTCTCTGCATCTAATTCTTATGGTGGAAATTATTGCTGCTCGGATAAAGACAATTGCAACGGTGCAACAGCACCCACAGTATCACTTTTTTCTGTGATCTCTCTTATGATCGGCTCCATTCTTGTCAAGCCAATAATCTTCGACTGAATAACTAGTCGATTACACTCGATAGACGCTATAAACATATCTCTTTTTCATTGTTCCATTTATTTGCTTCTGATGAGTCCCTAATGTTTCTTGCATTTTTTTTCTTATCTCACTAAATTTTTATTTTCACATCTCAACGGTGTACCCTAGAAAAGTGCCAAGAGAGACACAAGAATATCGACGCCAGTCAATGCATAATTAATATTATGACATCATCTGCTTTTATCAACGCGGATGCACTGAACTAAACGACTTTTTTTTACCATCCTTCTGTTAAGATACTACATCATATAAAAACTATTATTGAACGAAAATATCAAATATTTTCGCTGAAAGTATTGAGGGTGTGGATGTGTTCTTCTCTTCGACAATATCCACACCCATCCAACCTACCTGCTTATCATTTCATTACCTCGGACGATAGAATGATAACGATAAACAAATTTGTATACCATTAAGATTTTTGCATTTGATACTGTTTGTGTATGACAGAAACTATAAAAGTCTAATTCAGAAAATCTTTGACAACTCAATCGTACATTATTTTTATTTTTCTCTATTTCCTACTTTAAAGGTACTTAAAATCAAATTAACTCGTGTATTGTTATTTCACCTTGTACCATTCCTTTTTTTTTCAGTAATAGCTAGTTAAACACGACAACATAGTAGACATGTGCCGAATTCTTTCTTCACTATTCGGACTTATAATAGGTGCTGGAGGTTTCGTCTTCATCTTGGTGGTCTGCACACAGTTTCATAATATAGAAAAATCCAAAGTAAACAAGTACTCAAATAGTCGATGCAAAATTCTGAAGACATCGATAAAGGATTGATTGAGTAGCAATGTTCTCATTACGTTCACTATTTCTATTAGAAGAACAGTCAAGTTAACAACAAAACTATATGGTACAAGTCCTTTCATGCGTTTTTAAAATGTATTTCTGCCTTGACTTTGAATAATTAGTAGAAAGCAGATCATTCGAAATTTCTGTTTTAAGAAAGTATATTGTTCTATATGCTTTCTGCATACACCATCCAACACATTGTACATAGAATTCATCTAGCTGCTTTATATATCAATGAATGTCGAAGCCACTTATTTTCAATTGAAAATATACAGATACAACAAGTTTGAAGTAACTTATGAAACATTGAAGCAGGGGGTATGCACTAAGGTGTGAGTGTGGTTCTATTTTCATCCACACCCACACCCTGCACGAAAAAGAGAAAGAACAGTCGCTTCAGAATATGGCACCCTTAAATTTAAAACATAGACACTTCCACGTAGGCCATGCACATTTTGGTCATAGAAATTTTCAGTGAAGAGGCTTTGTCTATATTTATCTTCGTTTGATTAAATAAAATAAAAGTAATTATTATTTATTTCTAGAAAAATTTAAAGAAAAAATATCTGTTTTAACAATTTTTATTTTTAATATATGAAATATTTAAATATAAAATTTATTTTTCAAATTGACAAATCAATAAAAGCTTTGCCAATAATATTTCTTTTATCTTGTTTTTGAAAATATTTAGATGAAAATTAATTAAGAAAAATAATTTGTTATTTCTAGAATAAAATAATATAAAATTAATCTTTTGGTAAATGTTTATAATATCCTATTATGTTTTTATTTAATCTTTTTAAAACAATTTAACACAATATTAATGTTCAAATTCCTTTACTATATCCTAATTAATCGAACAAAACTTATATATTTTCGAAAGATGAAAATAAGGGTGTGAGTCTGGACTCCTATTTTCAATAATAAAACTTAATGAAAATTATTTTTCAAATATATATTGTTAACAAAGACTACTTTGAAATCGTATCATTAGCTTTTATAAAGAAAGGTGATTTGTTGTGTTCTATAGAAAATCCATAGTGAGAAACCCATAGATAATTTAGGTGCTATTCTTAATGCCGGTAAGAAGAAAATTTGATTTCAATGAATTCTTACGGTGTATCACATGTTATGTTTTGTGATTTAATGCCTGAAACGC